TAAATAAACTTCTCAAATCTCAAATCTCTTCTTAAAAACTTCTAGAGTTGAAGCATCCATAAGTTCTAGAGGAAAATCGTTTCACTGATTAATTGTTCTCATTATCAGGAAGTTTCTCCTTAGTTCTAGGTTGCTTCTCTCCTTGATTAGTTTCCACCCACTGCTTCTTGTTCTACCCTCAGGTGCCTTGGAGAATAGCTTGACTCCCTCTTCTTTGTGGCAACCCCTGAGATATTGGAAGACTGCTATCATGTCTCCCCCAGTCCTTCTTTTCATGAAACTAGACATATTCAGTTCCTGCAACCATTCTTTATATGCTTTAGCCTCCAGTCCAGAGGTGGTATGCTGCCGGTTCACACCTGTTTGGGTGAACTGGTAGTGGCGGCGGCACAAGGCTCCACCCACCCAGACATAATCAATGCCCAGATGTGCATGCACACACGCTCTCGCTACCGAACCAGTAGTGAAGAAAATAGAATACCATTACTGCTCCAGTCCCCTAATAATCTTTGTTGCTCTTCTTTGCCCTGTTTCTAGAGGAAGAAAGGTGGATATTTCCTTTGAGGGCTTCTTCCTTACCTAGTTTGACATTGTCAACTGCCCCCAAATTCAGATTGAGCTTGGCTCTTTGTTGAGCTTTACCTGAAGTTTCTCTAAGAGGTCCATATTCTGCCTCTTCAGCTGACTGTTGGCCCTTTCAAGTTTCTCTGAAGCTTCAATCTCCTCACAAGGGCTCAGGTTCTCTTGCAATTCGTCCTGCAGAACATGGTACTCCACCTCGTAGGCATGAAGCTGTTTGGAAATGTCCATCTCAAATACCTACCATGGGTAATGAAAGAGAGGGGAAAATGTTTCCTTACAATCCACTGGCTACTACTTTTAAATTTAAATTTCAATTAAATTCTTTTAAATTTCTGGACATTTATATCTCAGAGGACCTCTCATGGTCTATGAATGCTAACATGCTTGCGAGGAAGGCACAGAAGCGGCTGTACTTCCTGAGAATGCTCAGGAAGAAAAATCTATCTCAGTACTTACTTCTGTCCTACTATCACAGCACCATTGAGAGTGTCTTGACATACGGCATTCTTGCATGGCATAGGAGCAGCTCTGCAGCAGACAAAAAAGCTCTACAGAGAATCATTAAAACTGCCCTGAATACCACCGGGCTCCAACTACCAGCCCTGGATGATATCTTCGCATCTCGCTGTTTGAGGAAGTTGCACAACATTCTCAGAGACTCTTCCCATCCAGCTTACAATCTTTTTGAACTGTTGCCTTCTTTCAGAAGATACAGAACGATTAAAACTAAGACCACACGTCTTCTGAATAGCTTTTATCCCAGAACTATAATTGCACTCAACAATGAACTAAAAGGCCACCCTCAGTGAGCTGTTGGACAGCATTACTTGGTCTGTTGTGTGGATGCTTGGGTGGTTTAGGGGCGGGGAATTTTTGGTGTGTGGGGGTATGTGTGGGGATTGTTATGTGTGCTTGGCCTGGTCTCTGGGTGTTATGTGAATTTTGTTGTATGGGTATACTGTGTATATAGGTACAATGACAATAAAGTATTATACTTGAAGAGAAGACAAATAACTGAACTCTTTGGACCTCAGAGTGTGAAAGAAGACTAACCACATGCCAAAGCAAAGAGGGAAGGTGGAAGCTCCCTGTTGTGGCCCGCCAGCTGCCAGCGGAGCTGGTGGAAGACTCCAGCAATGAGGAGGTTGGGAAGGAACTTGGGCCAGTTCTGGAGCCTGCAGAAGGCTCTGATGAGGGTTCTGTGTCGGACGCAGAGATAGAGCTATGCCCGTCCGACATTTCCCAGCCACCGAAGAAGCAGCTGCCTTTGGAGGCTGAGATGAGTGAGGAGGAAGAACAGCTGGGGCCTGTTCCAGATGCACATATGCACAGAGCAGTTAGGAGAGCTGAGCAACGGAGGACAAGGAGTCGACTCGGGAAGCAAAGCACACGTGGATGCTGAATGGCCTCTCCCTGGCTGAGGAATAAATAGAAGGAGAGAGGAGTGGTTGTCATAGAAGACAACAGTTCGTATTTCTTTTTGCTCATTGTGTTTCCTGCTTGCCAGATCTTAATTTGCAGCCTTTGGGCTGGGAGCTCACAGCCTTGCAATTATTGCAAGGAACTGATAAGGTCTGTAACTGCAGTTAACTCCCTGAAGGACTGTTGCCTGTATTTTTCGGTGGGTGAATGCAATTAATTCACAAGAAGTAAATAAATAAAGAGGGGTTTTAACAGACATAATAAAAACAATACAGAATTAACTAAAAGAGAAAAGAAAAATAAGAAATAATTTATATCTGTTAAAACTATTAGAAAGTTGTTTTTTTTAAAAAAAGAAGGAACAGTGAGACATAGGTTACCCCCAGAACTCAGTACTGTCAATCAAGTGATGCTTTAACAGGATTTCTGCTCCTAGGAAAGGAGAAAGAGAAGGAGGGCAGGAATAAACCTGTGTTACCTGGGCCATTATCTTCTCCATCTGGGGCTGTGACATGTCTGGCAGAGTGTTCTTAAGAAACTCAACAATGCCTTCAAATGTCTCACACGACATGATGCTCTCCTCCTGGGTGCTAAGCAGGCATAGTGCTACCTTAAATATGACTTCTGTACCTTGAAGGAAAATGATATCTGGGGCGAGAAAGAGCAAAACAATAGATTACAGGCAGGCCTCGACTTATGACCAATGGGACACGCAGTTTCACTGGTCAGCAAAGGGTTTTTACAATTAGAAATTCTATCCATGCAAGAGAGGGCAGCTGCCATTCATCTCAGGAATGAAACGCATCTTAACACAACATCGCAGAGTATTTTACAAAACGATCAGCAGAGAACAGTTAATAGCACGGCCTCCGCCTGGGCTATTGAGCAGACGAGTCGCCACTCCAAAGGAAGTAAGAAAAGAAAAGGCACAACAAGACCTGTTCTGTTCTAGCTTTTTCCTGTTGACATCTGCAATGAATGTGCTTCTTAGGACTGCAAGGCAAAATGGATCCTTACCAAAGATTCTGGCTACGAATCCCAGGGGAAATTGCGAGGCAAATAAAGTGAGAAACCAGGGTGCAGCATAAAGGCTCGGGCTGATATCGTTTTCTTCCAGATGGTGGTCAAGATCCCGGTGATAATCATGAAGCAGCCTTGACAGCTGGTACATCTGGATCTACATGGACATATGGAAAAAGGGGAGGTTAGGAGATTCGTAGCTCCATATATGGCCAAGCATATTGGCAAACCATGTTCTTTCAGTCAGTGTTCCGATATCTCGGGGGCTGCCACAAAGAAGAGGGAGTCAAGCTATTCTCCAAAGCACCTGAGGGTAGAACAAGAAGCAATAGGTGGAAACTAATCAAGGAGAGAAGCAACCTAGAATTAGGGAGAAATTTCCTGACAGCTAGAACAATTAATCTGTGTGAGCTGAAGCCAGAAACATTTCTGCTGGGAATTCTACCTGAAATTTATAATAAAGAGAATGTATATTTAATCATTCA